TTCTACATGGCCCTATTACTAATTCACAATAACAACAGTTAGGTCAAGTGTTGAAACCAGCAGAGAAAACATGAAACATAACATCTGGATAACATCACCATATCATTCATTTATCATTCAATCTCGATCAAATAAAACTTTATTTCTGATTGGTTCAGAGGAAATCAGTCAACAACAAAAAATATCAAATAAAGTAATGATCTTACCTTGGCTTTACGAAGTCGAATAACAACAATGGCTAACACTATAGTCACAGTCAGACAAAAACTCTGAATCCCTAACGGAATTCCACGTAATAATACGTTATATTCCACTATACACGGCACCTCTCCCTCACATTCCTCACATCCTTTCCGACACGGAAGACACTGGAAGCTAGTCAAATAGTCCGATGACATGTTTTGAACATAGTCCAAATATAGTTTTTCCACATTCTCCCCATCAAAATATTTGTCGACGGCCAAATCCTCTGGGTAATAAAATCCGTTGCTACAGTGACACTGATAGTTCCCCCATGCAAACCCATTTCCAGGGATATGAACGCACTAGAATGAGAAAATAAATATTCAAATGAATTCAATTCTTATGTCACTCTGTTTTCAGAGTTTACTTTGATCTATGACTGCAAATAAAATGTTCCTTGTAAGCATTTCTTGGATCAAAGCATCCAGTATAATTTGCATACTAAGAGCAAGAAATATGTGTACTAGACATACACCTATATATTTATACCACAACCAGTGCTTTCTAGAATTAGCCAGCTGTTATCAGTTCTCTTCAAGAATAAATAGTTTTTCATACCAAGAGCAATAAATAAGTTTTAATAAATGTATCTGTGTTAGCGAGTTAGCAAGTTGATGGGCTTGCAAATTTCCCAAATTTGTTTTGTTCTTCAAATTATGTGGAAGAACTACAGCAACTTAACGAAAAAAAAATTTTCATTGCACCAAGAAGAAATTTGAGCAGTGCATGTTTTTATTAAAAACAAGATTATCTGGCCTTTATATTGCCAATATCATGTTAATAACTTAATTAAGTTTATCTTTTTTTATGTATTCAATATTCTACATGGCAACCTGGTGTGTTTACCATAATGCATGGTGATACTACTCCTATTTTAATATTTTATCATATGTTCTATGGTAAATTTTAACAAATTGCTCTCACTTATGGAACATAATTGAGTATTTGAAATTATTGCGACTGATTTGTGAAACATTATTGAGCATTGAATTATTGTGACTGCCTAACGAAACATTGTTACTTATTGAAATTATTGCTAGTCGCTTATAGAAGATTATTGCTTATGGTTTACTATGAT